AAGACACTTACGGCGAATCACAGCCGCCCCCTGCCTGTTGGAATCGCCCATGTGGGCGAACGTTGTGGCCAGAGCTCTGCCAAGCTATCGGACCATGTGTTCCCCCAGCCGTTGTGGAAACCCTTGGGGAACACTTGGGGGAGGATGGCGGGGAAGGTCAGAAGGAGGAGGAGGAGGAGGAGGAGGAGGAGGAGGAGGGGGCATCTTGAGAGCCTGTGGGGGCACCCTTGGCGCCTTCTGGGAGCTTCATGGGGGCCTCTTGGAGGCATCTTGGGGGCCTCCTTGGGCCTCTTAGGGGCCTTTGGGAGCTTCTTGGGAGCATCTTTGGCCGTCTTAGGGCGTTCCTGGCCCCTCCGACGCTGTCGGAAGCCGTCCTGGGAGCCTCTCTGAACCGATTTGGGGCCCTCTTGGGGTGCTCCAGGGCCGTCATGGAGGCCATCTTGGGCGTCTTGAAGGCCTCTTGGGCTAGGTTCTTATGGGCCTCCAGTGGCCGTCTTGGGGCCATCTTGACCTGTTTATGGCCGTCTGGAGGCTAGGGTTCGAACGGCTCGAGGGCCGTCTTGAAGCCGTCTTCGGCCGTCACGGAGCCATCTTGAAGGGTCTTTGGGTTCCCCAGTCGACCGTCTTAGGCCGCTGTCTGGCCCCTCCTGGGACCATGTTTGAACCATTATGAAACCTGAGAGGCTTCTCGGAAGCGAAAAGGCGAGGTCTTGAAACACTTATAGTTTGGTTCAACGATGTTCGTCTCCCAGATGCCTCGTGGGAGCTTCTTGGAAGCCTCTTGGGGGCGTTCTGGGGCCGTCTGGGGGTCATCTTGACTTGTCTGGTGCTGCCTGGAGGCTACCTGGGGCAGTCTTGGTGGTCTCGAGGGACGTCTCCGAGCCATCGTCTGTCGTCTCGGAGCCATCTTGAAGGGTCTTAGTGGATCCCAATCGACCGTCTTGGGCGTTCTTGGGGCTCCTCGACGGCCGTTGCTGGACAATCCTGGGGCCTCGGAAGCGATGAGGCGAGCTCTTGAACAAAAATTAGCCTGGCGGAGAAACCAATCATATGCAATTGTGAATACCGCAATTGTGGGTGGTCTTCCGTGGGGCCCCCCCTAGGGCCACGAAGCGCTGCACTGGGTGGGGGATACGCATGCGAGTTTCGCCATGGGACCTTCGATCGAGCTCCCTATGGGGCCAAGAAGCGCAGTATTGGGGACAGGAACCATGTGTAGGGGGCAACGAAACGCTGTACTGGGTGGGGGAACCGCATGCGGACTGCGCCACTGTGACCTTCGGTGGAGCTCCCTCTGGAGCCACGAAACGCTGCCCTTGGCAGGGGAAACGCATGCGGACTGCGCCACTGGGACCTTCGGTGGAGCTCCCTCTGGGGCCACGAAACGCTGTACTGGGTGGGGGAACCGCATGCGGACTGCGCCACTGGACCGTGGAGCGCCCTCTGGGGCCACGAAACGCTGTACTGGGTGGGGGAACCGCATGCGAACTGCGGCACTGGGACCTCCAGTGGAGCTCCCTCTGGGGCCACGCAACGCTGCACTGGCCGGGGGAACCGCATGCGGACTGCGCCACTGGGACCTTCGGTGGAGCTCCCCCTGGGGCCACGCAACGCCGCACCGGCCCGGGGAACCGCATGCGGACTGCGCCACTGGGACCGTCGGTGAAGCTCCCCCTGGGGCCACGAAACGCTGCACAGGGCGCGGGAACCGCATGCGGACTGCACCACTGGGACCTTCGGTGGAGCTCCCTATGAGGCCACGCAACGCTGTACTGGGTGGGGGAACCGCATGCGAACTGCGCCACTGGGACCGTGGAGCTCTCTCTGGGGCCACGAAACGCTGCACTGGGCGGGGGAACCGCATGCGGACTGCGCCACTGGGACCTTCGGTGGAGCTCCCCCTGGAGCCACGAAACGATGCACTGGGCAGGGGAACCGCATGCGGACTCCGCCACTGAGACCTTCGGTGTAGCTCCCTCTGAAGCCACGAAACGCTGTAGTGGGCGGGGGAACCCCATGCGGACTGCGCCACTGGGACCTTCGGTGGAGCTCCCCCTGTGGCCACGACACGACGCGCTGTACAGGGTGGGGAACCGCATGCGGACTGCGCCACTGAAACCTTCGGTGGAGCTCCCCCTGGGGCCACGAAGCGCTGTACTGGGTGGGAGAACCGCATGCGGACTGCGCCACTGGGACCTTCGGTTGAGATCCCTACGGGGTCAAGAAGCGCTGTACAGGGGGCAAGAACCGCATGCAGGGGGCCACGAAACGCTGCACTGGGCCGGGGAACCGCATGCGGACTGCGCCACTGGGGCCTTTGGTGGAGCTCCCTCAAGGGCCACGAAACGCTGTACTGGGGGGGGAGACCGCATGCGGAATGCGCCACTGGAACCTTCGGTGGAAGTCCCTCTGGGGCCACGAAACGCTGCACCGGCCGGGGGAACCGCATGCGGACTGCGCCACTGGGACCTTCGGTGGATTTCCCTCTGTGGCCACGAAACGCTGCACCGGCCGGGGGAACCGCATGCGGACTGCGCCACTGGGACCTTCGGCGGAGCTCCCTCTGGGGCCACGAAACGCTGCACTGGGCGCGGGAACCGCGTGCGGACTGCGCCACTGGGACCTTCGGCGGAGCTCCCTCTGGGGCCACGACACGCTGCACTGGGCGCGGGAACCGCGTGCGGACTGCGCCTCTGGGACCTTCGGTGGAGCTCTCTCTGGGGCCACGAAACGGTGTATGGGTGGGGGAACCGCGTGCGGACTGCGCCACTGGGACCTTCGGTGGAGCTCCCTCTGGGGCCACGAAACGCTGCACTGGGCGCGGGAACCGCGTGCGGACTGCGCCACTGGGACCTTCGGTGGAGCTCCCTCTGGGGCCACGAAACGGTGTATGGGTGGGGGAACCGCGTGCGGACTGCGCCACTGGGACCTTCGGTGGAGCTCCCTCTGGGGCCACGGAACGCTGTACTGGGTGGGAGAGGCGCATGCGAACTGCGGAGGAGGGAGGAGGGGGATGAGGAGGGGACGAGGGCGAGGAGGAAGGAAGCAGAGACGCGGAGCGCTGTCTCTTCAAAACGAGGACCCACCACCACAGGATGGTTGAGAACAACGATTGGTTTACCTGTGGTGTTTGAAGGGGGTATGTTTCCGGGGGCCTCTTGGGAGCCTCTGGTGAGCCTCTTGGGGGCATCTTGGGACCGTCTTGGGACCGTTTTGACGTTTCTCGGGCGGTCTGGAGGCCATTTGGCGCCGTCTGGGCGGGCTCCAGGGCCGCCCTGGCGGCTCCTGGGGCCGCCTGGGGGCAATATTGGAGGGTCCTAGGGCCCCCGGTTTACCCAATGGAAGCGTGGGGCTCATGTGTACATGACTCTATCTCTGTATCTCTCTCACTCGCTCTCGTTTTGTTGTTCGCTCTCTCTCTCTTTCTCTCTCTCTCTCTCTCTCTCTCTCTCTACACACACATGTGCATATAAGTATACATAGATACGGATATAGTTTATATATATATATATATATATGTGTGTGTGTGTGCGTGTCCTTGTAATGCATACGTGTACATACGTACGTATACATGTATGTATACATGTATGTATGTAAATGTGAATGCATGCATGCATGCATGCATTTAGGTATGCAAGCATGTTCGCACGCATGCACGCACGTATGTGTGTATGTATGTATGTATGCATGTATATAGGTGCATGTACTTTCGTGTATGGTTGTGTGTATACATGCGTGTATGTACATATAGGTGAATGAATGTATGTACGGCTAGCTGTGAATGTACTTCTATGCGTATATGCATGGTTTTAGGTATGCAGGTATGTGCGCTTGTATGTATGGATGTAAGTGCGTACATCAGTAGGTAGGTTGCCGTATCTGCCTGCATACATGCAGGTATGCATGTGTGTGAATGTGCGCGTATATATGTATGCGTGCATGTATGAATGAGTGTATGTATGTTTGTGTGTACGTGATGTATATATGGATGTATGTATGTTTTTGGGCATGTATGCATGCATGTGTGAGTACATGCATGCATGTGTGTATGTATGTGTGTATGTGTGTCGACGTATGTGTGTATGGTTGCAGCCACACATACATACATACATTCATTCAGACAGGAATGCACATACAGACATAACTACCTACATACAAACACACATACATACATACGTGCATGCCGACGTATGTACATACATGCGTACATGCGTAGGCACTTATACATATTTCCCTAGATGCATAGGGCCATACATACATCAAGGTAACTGCATTCCCAGATACACGCGTACATGCATATGTCTGTATGCATATGTAGATATATACGTATGTATGTTCACAAACGCTGAAAATCGAGAATGTTCAACAAGGTGAGCTGTTCAAGGATGGAGGACGGTTCTGTTACAAAATGGTACGCTCGCTTGGCCACTGTGAATTTGTGCAAGATTAACACAAGTGGGGCGGTCTTCTTTTCCATAGGATATATCGCTGGAAACCTCGTCGAACAGTGAGGGCAAACCTTTTGCTTAGCCTGTAAACGTATGCGAAACATATCTTAGAACAAACGGAGGTCTCGCGCAACTGGCAGGCCCATATGTGCTGGTCTTTTTCAGGGTGTGCTTATTGCAGTGAAGCGGATGGCGTACAGGGACTTACGAGGAAGGGACGTGGGACGGAAGGGTAATTGGCAACCTCATTGATAAGTGTTGGGTTTACGCTGGTCTCTGGTCTTGCTCATCCTGTCCTGGCCCATTATCATCCTCGTCCTTCTCATACTCTTCATCCTACAACCATCATCCGCTTGCTACACAGAGTTGCCTCATCCCCATAGGTATCCAAGAGGCCTCTGACCTACAACCCAAGCATGGTGGTGGGATGGGCCGAGAACCACCATAGCTATATGTATGTATACACCAATGAAATAGCAATGGATAACGATCGGGGCAGGGCTTCGGGTGAGTGCGCGGTGCTGGAGGCAAACCACACTCTAAGGCCAGCGCCGACACCCTCCGACGATGTGACAGACGGGCCAGTACCGCACGAATACCCCACCTTAGGTGGAGGCTACCAATCGGACCCGGTGCTTGCAGGAACAGGAACGGTGGAAGGGAGAGGGAGGAAGGCAGGCAGGAGGCAGAAGGGAAGGGGGAGGCTGGATGAGGGAGCAAGTCGGAGGGAGGAGGGAGGGAGGGGGGTCAGAGGGAGAAGGATGGTTTTCCTGATGCTAGAACCAAACTGGCAACGCCTTGCCACACCCAGCCGGCTGCCAACTGTGGGGGGCAGCGGGAACACAAAGGAGGTGCCGCACGCTGACCTTCCAGGTCAGTCAATGACCCGTCGCGTCGCACTCCTGCTGTCACATGGAGCGGCACGCCTCCCCAAGGGAGGGAGGGCTTGACATTGTACGGGTGTCTGCGTCGGCGCAAGAGCGAACGGCGATACATGGCCGCGGGGTTGGCAGGGGGCCCCTCACACGACAAACACCGCACCGATCGCAAAACGTGAGCTGGCCTGCTTGGTGCAGCTCCTGGCCCGAGAGCAGCACCGCGCAGGGCTCGAGAAATGTCAGTGTTCCCCTCCCCCCGCTCCGACGCCCCCCCTCCCCCACAGACGGTCTACCCTACGCACGCTTGGCTTCGGCGCGAGAGGGCACATCGGTAGCAGACAGCGTACCGCTAAGCCCTCCCGTCCATATCAGGGTGCGAGCACGCATGCCCGCAGGAGTGCCCCGCTTGCGCCTGCGGGGGCCTCGAGAACCCGCGGCGGGCCTCCCCGACGAGTCCCCAAAGTCGGGCGAGCGCATCGTGACACCCGCAGCCAGTGGGAGGACGGCCAAAACCTCGCCCGAACGCCTGGTCCAGGCCCGGGTCTTCCACGGGGGGGATCGCCTGCAGGTCGGCTCCAGTTTCGGCCTCTAGGTCCGCAAACCGGGCGGGTTGCCCGTGGGAAACGGGCTTCCTCTGAAGAGTCGTACTGGGGCTCCTTTGCATGGGCCCGAAACTTGACGGCCCGAAAATCTTCGTCCCCAGGGAAAGAGTCCTGGAACATTCCCCAGATCCTACTCCAGAGGTCGCCGCGGGGCCCCTTTGCTGAGCGACACCACTTGGGACCTCTACGAAAACCTCGGATGACCGAGCTGTTGCCGATCCCAATCCGCACAGGTGGGCAAACAATCTCCAGATCCTGGAGAAGACCGTCCAACTCGGCCTTGGAACACACGTTAGACGCCTCGGCCCTGGGAGCGAACCCCTCATGGCCTGCATGGCCGCCCCCTCGTTCAGAAGAACATAGTCCCAGCCAGAACTCTTGAGTCCAGGCGGGCCTTTGGCGGAGTCGTCGGAATAGGCCGATCACGACACAAGAGAGGGGTGCAGAAATCGAGGTAGATTTCCTCCTGGGCGGGCGTTCAATCGACAAACGGGCCGCCAGAGGGTGTTCGACGATGCCACCAAGGAGAAGGAGGGACTCCGGAAGAGGTTTCGGCTCGATGCACAATCCCTTGGAGGCCCTCTGATTCTGCAACTTATGCTCGCTATCCGGTGCGCAACGGGCAACGACAGAAGCGGTGGCGCTGGCAAGCTATCTCATAGTGGCAATGCTTGGCACGACCTATCGTCCCCAATTCAGGTTCGGCGTTGCCACGCCTGAGGAGTGGCCAGAACTTTCGCGGGCAAGCTCGAGGTTTGCCGGCTGGTCTACGGTGGGAGACCAATCAGGCTGATCAGGAACGTCGTCGTCACTGTCAGGTTCATCATTAGGGCTATCAACAAGAATCTCCCCAGGTCGATCGTCTTCCAGAGGAAGACTGAGACTGGTACTATCCATTGAGATTGCCTGCTTGATGTGCTTCACCTGTTGAAAGGGCAGTGCCAATGCACCCGTCGTCGGTCTCAGACGATGACGCATATGCCCCGCTGGTGGTTTGCCACTGAATCATTCGCCAGGAACTCTCGCGGGCCTCGGCTGCTCCACGCGATTCCTGCGAGGTAGCTGGCTGCCACAATCCACCTGGAATACCTTCAAGCGCAGCCACGCGCATACTGAATATAGGGCCAGCCAAAGTCACGTCACCAACATCTGGAGAAACGAGCTGCCCGACCTGACTGAGGCAGGTGCTCCGAGGGCAGATGCTCGCCAGCAACGCGCCAGCGAACACCGCGTTAGCAGCGGCCTTTCGGTAGAAAACAGTTCGGCCAGCCCACTTCTTGCCCGGTGAGCGGCGGCAGGAAGAATCGCCCCACGCGTCGTGAAAGGATGCGGCGGCCCCGTCGGAGTAGACTATTTCAGCCCCCCGCTCGCCAGTAAATTCATCCGCAGCAGGAGGGCCGACAGCTGCAAGGGCAGGCGCGAGGGGTGCTCCGCGGGGATTGCGACGCACTCGGACATGCACCCTGCGACCATCGAAAATTTCTTTGCACCGCCGGCCCTTCAAAAGTCGCCCTCCCCCTCGACCCTCGACTGCTTCGAAGCCGCCCCCGCCCACCATGGCCGCCTGCATCTCGCGGGTCGCTGAGTGCATTGCCGGGCGCATGAGCCCCCGTTGACTCGCTGGCTCGCCTGACTCGCGGGTCTTCATGCGCCGCCCGCAGCGACGGGAACATTTGTCGCGGGCACCCTTGAAGGTGCGACCCGCGCGCGCCCCCGAAGTCGCCAGCCCGTCGCTGGCTGGTTCGCCAGTCCGAAAGTAATCTGAGTCAGGGCGCCTCGCCCAACGCGTCTAGCACGCGTCGCACGCCCGCCGGTAGACCTCGGCGCTGCCCCGGTGGCGCACGCCACTTTCCAAGTGGAGACACATGCACTGATCGACAATATGATTGCCGGCACCGTCTGGCAGCACCCCCTTGCCGACCGCGAACCACTCCGCGGCGCGGATCTTCAAGACTCGAGACACAGGCCTCGGGTCTTGATGCTGGCGCGCGGGCGACGCGGCATCGTTGCCCAGATTCTTGGCTTTCCCGAACGCCGACGCGCGCCCCCGCGCGGCGCCCCACGGCCGCGCGTTCGAGGATCGCAGGCGCTCGAGGCGCAGGAGGTGCAAGTTCCACATCCGCTTCTCCGGCGTCAGAAGAGGTCGACTGGACCTCGCAGCGGTCGAATGGGGTTCCAATCGCGGCCCCCCCTTCGCAAGGGCGCGCCCCGCGTGGCCCGGCATCGCGATGGGCGCCAGAAGAGGCGGTAGTTCACTGAGGAAGGCTGGCTTGAGCCAGGGACGCCTCCGGATTCACATCGTTCATCTTCCGCCGCCAACCGCCGTCTGGGAGGAGAGAACAACAAGAGAAACATGCCTGATCCCACTTTATAAGCCCTCGACTGACCGCCGCCGAGCGCTTGCCAAGCGACGATTCCGCCTGGCACGTCTAGAACCATGCCTGACTGACGAAGCACGTCGACTGGAAGTGGGAGCGGAGCATCCACCTGGATCACGCGCGCCGTGAGAATACCGCATTTCTTCGCAATGCCAACAGGTAGCCCAACTGAAAATCAACTCGGCGGATCCGCCGACGCCCGCGGCGCCCATCTCGATAGAAAGGGATCTGGATGGGCTTCAGTCCGCGGGCATCTCCGAGATATTTCGCAAGCTTGCCAAACTTAGCGTTGCCGCAGACTCCATGTTGAGCCCCAGAATCAACCAATGCGAAACCCATCTGGACCTGGAGTCCGATCAAGGCCCCCCCTCCCAAAAAAAGACTTGTCTGCATTGGCGAAGATGGTGAAAGTAAAAAAACTGTTACCTGGCTGCGTCATGTTTTCCTGGTGACAGGCGCCCCGCGGGATAGCGCCCGCTTCGATGGGAGTGTTTTGGAAGCCGCCGAAGCCTGCTCGACGCCCCCGTCCACGCGGGAAGATCGGGCGCACTTCAAGCGGCTCGTCAACTTACTCTTTGCCCAACGCTTCACCTCAGCGCGCCCTCCGCTTCCCGCGGCACTTCCCCTTCCGAAAGCATTTAGTCTTCCGTTTCGGCGGAGACTGCTTGAAGAAGCCTCGTCCGAGCTCTCTCTCTTGCAAATACTGTCGGGCATGACTGTGGCTGGCGCATGCGTCAAATCTTCTGCTAGAATCGCGTCCTCCGGCAAGACTCTGGTCGCGAAGAGCACGTCTTCGTCGCCCGCGCACCCGAGAGCTTCGTTCAACAAATCATCACCGTGCACCTATGGAAAGTTGGCCAAGACTGTTGCATGAAGATCCAAGGAACGTCTTCATTCGCGCGCTCATCGGCCACCCTGGTAGCCAATGAAATGAGAAGAACCCACTTCATGAATGCGATGGCCACCTTTCCATGATGGTGATGGGCGTTCTGGCTTGCGTAGCTTCTCACCACCCAAGTCGACTCGGTCCAGTTCTCGACAGTGTGCTAGACAGCGTCATTGAGTTTTGACTTTCTGAGAAGCATACAGATATGTGTATACATTTACACATATATATACATATATATATATATGTATGTGTCTATATGTGTGTGTTTGTATATATAAGTATATAGAGAGACTCAGTTCCGACGGCCAGATGGCATGCTTATCAAGTTCCCTGCGAAGAACACGCTCGCCGGCAATGTAATTGACAATGGATTCGTCTCGCCTGCGTTTAGTATCTTGACACTTGAACAACTTCTCCAATACCATTACCAGCCTGCGGTCCCGGCATTCGGCGAATGGCCTTTTCTAATATGTTCGACCACCACCTTCCCGCGATCCTCGGCGGACAGCTGCTCCTCGGCAAGCTCGTTGATGAAGATATTGAAGTCGTCCCTGGCGTAGCGGTAGATGAGGTACCCGTGCTGCCTCTTCCTGGTAGTAAAGAGCCACACCTACAGCTCCTTCATGTAGGGACCTAAACGAGCACCAAGGTCCGTTCCATCCCAGGCGGGGGGAAGGTTATCGGGTATCTTGAGAGCCTCCGATTGTTCAGGAAATTCCCCCCTTCTGTCGATCAGCACATCAAGCAGCAACGCCACCTCAATAGGTCGGAGCGAACGGGGCCGCGTTACCCCACAGAGGTGTGTTCAGCCGAGCTGCTCCTGCCGGCGAGCCACGACCTTGCGGATTCCAACCCGA